AGTTTAAGAGCTCTAAACTGAACTGACTGATAAGACGAGAGCTCTAAACTGACACTGAACTGACTGCCAAGCAATCAGTCAGTCAGTCAGTCTCATCAGTTTGGATTGATTGTTAGCAACTCTGCTTTCACGCGAGGAGCATATCCAGAGAGACTACCACAATATACGTGGAAGACTGTTGTATCGCGCAAAAGATCATCCTCTCTGTTCATTCTGCATCTTGGCTCTAGCCATTAAGTTCGGTAGGCGCCTCAAAGCCTCCTTGGTTGCAACAGCACCATGGTCCATCTTCAGTGCCAGGACGTCATAAACGACTGCTCCTGACGCGCCGAGCTCTTTTTCATGAACACGCAAACGGATTCGGACATTTCTACGCGCGTTTTTACGCGTTTTTTCGTGTTCTGTGGTTCTCTGCACGTCTTCTCGGCTTCACCACGAAAGCTCGGTTCACGTGTCTAAGTGCTCACCTGGATATTCTGAACCTTCGCTGCAGTCACTCTCCATTTTATCATCCTTTTGCAACTCTCCTTCAGTTTCGAATAACAGATTCAGCTTCTCGTCACTCTTTACAAAGGTCGCTGTTTCCACGATTATCCACTCTTTCTTCGGCCATGTAGTGGGTCGATTCGCCTATCCGTTCTGTTCTGTGTCTTCCAGGTTAGTACAATCCTGCTCTTTTCTGTTTTTGCTTTGCTTTGTTGGAGGCGTATGGGGTTTATAGCTCTACAGTGAGCTTGTCAAGATGGCGGATTCTTTCGACAAGTATTTCTTCGAGATCGCGATTGCAACACCGCTTCCCTTCATTGGAGACGGAGGCGTCGACAACGACAGCAACCTCGCGACCACAAGTTCTCATACTTGTTCTCAACTTTCTGCCGTTCCGCGGTCCTTGATGATTCGGCCCACTGTTCTTCCGTCGCCTGTTGTCAAGGAGCCGAGCAAGAAGCGTAAGCCAGATTTCAGCATCTTCGTTGACACAGATACCGCCAACGACACCTCAAGGTCTATGTCCACCCCGAAAAGGTCTAGGACGGGTATTCCGCGCACTCCGTTGAGCGACATGACTTTCTCTACTGCTTCCACGCCAGCGCCGTCTCCTCGTCTTCCTGACACCCCATTCCCCTTCTCGGCCGCCGACCCTAACTGGGAGAACATTGAGAACCACGATTCCTACATCAGAACTCCTCCCGCGACACCGCTTGGACCTCCTCCTACGCCGACAGTTCCTTCTGGCCCACCACCTCCGCTGTCCGCACGCGCCCTTCGTCCTCGCCGCGCCCGTGCTTCTTCGTCAGCGAACCTCCTTCCTCCGGTCAATATGCTGGCCTACGAGATGCTCGGTCTAAAAACTTGGAGAGTCAGCTCGGTCGGTATCAACCTCGCCTATCACAAGGCAGCAGCCACAAGCCACCCGGATAAGGCCGCTCCCCAGGAGAAGGAGTATGCAACGATAGATATGCAGCAGATCAACGCTATCAAAGAGATGCTGCTGGACACGGAGACCCGCACCAAGTACCACAGGGACGGAGTCATACCTTGGGTCATTTGAGATCCTAACGTATTGTTGTCAAGCTAATGATACGATGGCCATGGTACGACTACAGTGCTAGGTTTGTATAAGAGATGCTGGAGAATTGTTGACAGGATTTTGCCGCCTGTGGCATACCAGAAGTTCCTCAAACAGTTGATACGATGAGTATGAGCATGATGGTTAGAGGCCGGTGGTAATGATGCGAAGTTTTTCAGCGTGACGATGGGGACTAATGGGCGATGGTGGGAGTATTAAGTACCGGGGGAAGATGCTTGCTTTGTTGCGTTCACGACACCTACTTCTAGTCGCTACATCCCAAAATTCGTTATGATAGCTACGTTTTATGACGCACGACGCGCAAACGACAGCTACGAATCTTGTATGATTAGCGTATCACATTCTTTTGAAACCTCGGTTATACAATGGGACGTGGAGTGGTCTTTGCAAATTGACTCGGTTTATCAAGAAGCTCACCATTGCACTGATGATGACACATTCCTCTGACGTATTTTCGCATATCTACATCGTGATGCGTACACTCATCGTCTCTAAGGAATACCGACACTTCAACAAAGAGTAGGGCTATTGAACATGTCAATTTCGCGAATCATCTTCGGATCGATCTGCCGAACCAGGCGCATGAACCAATGTCAGCATGACTACATCATTCACCACCTTTCTACCCATATTACGCAAATCGAACACTGACAGTACAAGCCACGACAGTCAACTGAATTGAAGAATAGCCCAAGACATGGAGTAGAGTAGATACCCCCGATCCTTGAATGGAATTTTTATCTGATATACTTCATAGATCGTTATCAGGCTGGTAGCCCAAAATGCTCATCATTCGCTCGACAGAATTTTCGCGCGAAATGCAACTCCGTGTAATATGCTTCGCTAGTAACAACAACAACAACAACAACAACAACAAGTGACCTCCCATCATTCGTCCGTGGCAGCGCCAAGGAACTGCTATGGTCCGCACCTCCGCGGGGCTGAGATGACTGCTCCGCGGGGCTGAGATAGTAGCCTCGCGGCGTGTTTTAGCCACGTCTTCGCTTCGTGCGTATCGGCCGTATCGCATGTTTATTCAGTATTCCTCCGTCCTAATCCTAACGTACGAATCGGCGTTACTGACATATCCCCTAAAACTGGGACCCACACTCCAATTCACTAAATCCCTTGCGACTTCCCTTGCCGCATCGCATAAATCCACTTGCCCCGTCTCTTCACTTGTACAGAGCGCTTCGCCCACGGAAAAAGACCAGTCACATTGGAGATTTAGGCTCAAGTCCATCATCCACTCCATGCGCTCCTGCATAGCAGGTATCTGAACAACGAGCTCCCGGAACGCGGGCCAGACGATGAAGTCGACAATATTGATGTGTGGCATAAAAAGTTGGTTGGGTGTAGGGCGAAACCATTCGGGGATGGCGTTGTAGGTTTCGGGGGACGGTGATATCATCCAGCGCATGAGACACCAGAAGAGGTACATGGAGCCGAAGCATGAGAAGGTGTTACCTATGGATTGTTAGTAAGAGAATGGACTAGCGTGATGTTTTGTATCACACGTACCTTTCATGTAAACGCCATGTGTCATACCAACCGCCCATTTGGAAAGTATTCCCGAGTGGGTGTACACTTCCTTGTCCCATAGGGCTGCGATGTTCGGGTGTATCTCGATAATCTGCTCTATCGATACCCCCATGCTGATTAAACTTGTAGCTTGTTGTAGTATACTGGGTACTGCGCGTTTCAATGACCCAGGGTCCGGCATTGTATTGATGGGCAACATAGCCCACGTCGGTAGAAACAAGTTACTGATCTGAGTGTCTTGGATGTCGCCTGGGTAGTGGTTGCTTCGGATACTACTGGAGAAGGGCATATTGCCAAAGAGATTGCGGAGGTTGAGGTTTGGGTGTATTCGGATAGTGTTTACCATGGGTTGGCGACCAGCGAGATGTGTAGGGTATATCGATCGAATCGTGTTTTGTCTGTGTGGCGAAGGTCTTCGACTTCGAGACGGTCTTGTGGATGACGGCGCTGTGTTCCGCATGGTATCGAGGCTTGACGCATGCTGTAAAAGCCGTGGGTCGATCCGACTATCCTGGAGATTATCTTCATCTTCACTATCTTCTTCGGCTTCATCCCGCGCTAGAAGATAGTCATCGCGATCGAACAATGGAACTAGGAAGCTTTGTTCCTTCGCTGCATCTCCAGTAGCTGGTTGCTTCCCTTTGCCCGATGGTGCAAACGAGGACGACGAAATACTTGCAGAAGGTGACCAGCCCGCGTTCTGGCTTGTAGGTGATGCCAAAGATATAGAAGAACCCTGTCGAAACTTTGAGGCACTTTTACTCATATCAAACACCGATTCGTGACTCATACCGCTTCCAGAGGTGTCCGTAGACTCCTGGCCCAGTAAGCTGAACCCGGGTTATCAATGTGCTGTAGCCAGAGGATGCTGTGATCGAGTGATGCATACCTGGGGGGATGGCCGGATGTCGCTGGGGATGCTGTCATCGGGAGGGTCTTCGCAACGTCTTCGGGTGCTTCACCGAGTCTCAAACGAGCGAGAACAGCGGCGGCTTGGTCGTCAGTGCCCGAGCGCAGTGAGGTGACTATGCGCTTCAGATCGTCCAGCTCGCCAGTCATACTGTCTCTCTTCATAATCTTCATGCGCTCAGCTCTCGAGACGCCTTCGGCAACGTCGTATTGACATGATAGCTTGTTCTCCTTGCATCGATTGCATTGGGGTCTTGTGCCGTCACACTACACACAGGCGATCAGTAGAGTTCGAGGGGGCAACGAAATATGGGCAAAAAGCCTACCTATAGGTAGTATCACATGCTGTGAGTACCTATAGAAGAGCGCCAATCAGGAATACATGGGTCTTGGATACTTGAAAGTATCCTCCGATACTTCGCAGCACTGGTGAGCATAGTAGCATGCTTGGTAGCTATGCGAAAGACCTTCAGATGCTCCGGGGCTTGGTTATTGCGTGTAACTTGGTCTCACGTACCTTGGCCTTCCCATTTCGGCACTGCACGCACGCCACAGCAACGGCCTGTCGCTTCTTCCGCCTGTCTGATGTTGGGCGTCGCTGGCCAGGCTCGTCTGAGGCTGGTGCGATACTTTGCCATCGCTCCGAGGGATCCATGCCGTCAATGTCGAGGTAGTGGGCGAGATGGCCAAGCTCACAGAGATCCCAAAGTCGCTTGTGGAGCCGGTGGAGCCTGGGCGACGGATGTGTGAGCGTGGTCTGCAGGCCGTGTCGTTGGGCGTGGCTCGCGCTCTGGAGTTGCGCTTCCTCTGTCTGTCACCATCTACAGCGGTTTGCCACTTTCTGTCGCAATGAGAAAACTCGTCGATGCGCCACGGGCTTTCTGCCTTGGAATATCTGAACAGATCGCATTTGCGACCGAGATCGAATTTGATCGAAGGCTCGGTACAAATGGCCGACAAGAAGCTTCTCTCGGGAATGCTCCCCTGACCAATAAGATGCCATGACGCACCATCTCACGTGCTGTAGAGATCGGTCCAGAAAAAGACGTAGAAAACTGTTACTATAGGAAAGAGGCGAAGGAGAAAAGTGTAGCAGCGTGGAAACCGCGACTGCGTTCCAGACGGAAGAGGGTTGCTAGCCTCGGCGGCACATGTACGGCGGCGATCCGGGTCCAGATGTACTGCGCGCCATCGTTCAACGGGTTCCAGGCTCGCCAAATGACTAGAAGAGCCTCTAACGGCAGTTCCTGGTGTGCGAGACGACAGGGAATGATTGGACGGCATACAGCGACAGGTGTGGTGGAGTGGAGGTGGCTGTGCGTGTCGTGCTGACTCTAGTCCCCTTGCAACCGAGAAATATCTCGCATCGAAGTGTGACGTCGTGCCATCCACAGCGTCTATCAAACAACCTTCTCTTGAACTTAGCAGGAACAATATGCATATGCCAGCAAGTACGGCAGTTGAATCGGTAAAGCGTCGTCACCATCGAGCTTGCCCCGTGGGCTATCCCTCATCTCTGTATGACAATCCGACCATTGAGAAAAAAGGCAAAAGCGCATTGCGACCTGGAAGAGCTGGCGGACGAGGTTCAAATAAGCCATGCGCGATTGACGTCACTGTATGCGCTCCGGGGTTACTTGAGGGTGCCACGATGGCAAATTTAAAGCCTAGACCACCTCACTCGTCAGTTTAACGACGGAGAATGCTGCTGTTGCACGCATCGAAAAGCAGTGCGCAATCGGCAGGTCTTGATTGTGGTGACATCGCACAGAGATCGCATGATCATCAACATGAACATGTGCACATAGGGCTACGATGTTGGTGCGTTTTCGTACTACATCTCAGTCGAGGTCGGCATCTGGGCCCGAACCGCCTCATTCATCGAGTATAAGATTGGCACATTCGGTCATAGCAAATGATATGCATTAGTCTAGTAATATCGGACTAACACACTCTCCTGCTCCAAATCCATATTCCAAGAAGAGATTGTCACTAAACCTTAACGTTTCAACACGTGACTGTCGTGACGAGTTCTTCTGACCGGGCTTTAAGCTGGTTGTATCGTGTAACTATGTCAGCCACTAGAACTTCGCTAAACATGCCAATTCGCCGATGCAGTTGGATCCACCTCGGTAGACCCTGCGCCGAAGTCTCGGCCTCGGATTTCACACGCCAAGCTATTCAGAGCGACCGCTCCCGCTCCATACGAGATCCAGAAACCCTTCGACCCTTCGTAGGCTGGGAGAATAGCTGCTAAATGAGGCTCCGCGGAGGTCGTGATATGGATGCAGGGAGATGACTTCGTTACGAACTTTTGTTTGACAAAACAGCGGTCTAGACAAGTGGGTACACGGTAACAAGATGTATAAGGTAGGGTACGTTCGTATCGAATTGCAGACGGATCTAAAGAACTCCTAAACTCCTCGCTATAACAAAGGGGATCATGTTTGCTTTATCTCGTGTGGTACACTTCCGCCACTGGTGTACCAAGACAAGTAAGCAAAAGCAGTAAGTTCCGTGGTATTGAGAGCCCGTAACATCATCCCTCCACATACTTAGGCGCGATTCGATACCATCTCAACGTCCGAAACAGATGTGTCCATACTCTTACCCCGAGCAGCCCTGTTCTTGCCGATTGTGTTACCCAGTGCTGGGAAGCAGTAGCCGGGATGGAACACTGTAAGTACCAGCACACTCAACACGATCATGGCACCCTCCAGGATGATGAATTCCGTCTCTTCGCGCATGAGTTCGCTCCTCCAGCCACCGGTAAGCTCTGGGATACGGTAGACACATCGAACGTAGATGCCTAAGAAGGCAGCGATGATAGCAAAGATGAAGCAACGGAATGATGTTTTGTGGAAGAGTGTCATTGCTTCGGCGGACAGTTGGTTGCGGCGGTTGTAGGTACGGATGGCATACTCGGCGAGAAGGATGCCAAAGCAAGACAGAATGACAACCTGGAGGACGACACCTGCGACCATGAGGTTCGTTCCGATGTCTAGCAAGTCGGATCCCGGATCTGCCGTTGCAGCAATGCCACCACCGGCGCCTTGGAGAACAAGCGACAGGATATCACCTGTGATGAAGATACGGGTGTACCAGACCGGCGGCAGACGCGACCACGACTCGCCGAAGTTGATGACGATGTGTTTGAGTGTAAGGTATATTCCGGCGGAGATGAAGGCGGGCGAGATAATCAAGCAGCAAATCTGCATCTGAAAACCCGTCTCGTCGAAGGGGTTGTTGTACATGATAAGACGACCAGCGTAGCCGACTACCTCGCCCAAGCAGCCCAGGCTGAGAGCAATCTACAGGACATTAGATGCGTCTTGCTAATTAGAGAACTGACTCACCATGTAGGTCCACGTCTTGTATCTGATGCCTAGCCCAAGCTGGATGATGAGGCAAAGGACGAAAAAAGCCGTGAAGAAGGCGTTGGCGCCGAGACTAGGATAATAGCCATAGAGTGTACCTTCGACTGGACATTCAGGGCCAACCTCGGTGCACCACCAAGGAGCAGAAGGTGGGACAGTCATCGTGAAAGGGGTTTGCCGCGTGAGGAGGTCGTTGCTGTAGGGCTGCAGAAGATCTAAGGCGACTGAAGCAGAAGGATATCTGTGAGTGGCCGAGCGCGGTGCGTTGTTGTGTGATGGGGAGTTGTTGACGACGGAGGCTCGATACCTTATAACTTACAATCTGATTCACAGATGAGATGGTGTTTCGCACCATGCACCGAATCCGAACATGGCGGCGCATGTATAGCCCCAGCCTGAGGCAGTATGGGATACGCGTTATTCAGCGGTAACGTTTGCTAGTCCTATAACAGCCAAGGATGCGAAATCTATGCAGGATGCCTTCTGCTACAAGCCACCCTACCGTCATCCATCTTTCGCGAATTGGACCTGGTTTGGTCTAGCGGCATCGCTTCGGTAGCCAAGGCGTCCGAATGTGGGTATGATTGGGTGCGTCATGAACGTGGGCTGAGCAGTTGTCGACAATGGAAAATGCTTCACCGGATGCTATTGCTTACTTCCGAATCACGTCTCATTTGCATAGATTGATTGAGAGTGTATGCGGATCGAGTGTTGGACGTGGTGTTGTGCGATAACATAACCGCGCAAAGCGACACTGAGTACAGCACAGCATAAGGCAAGCGATGCGCCAGTTTCAGTAAACTCTACAGTCTATTCGCTGTGTTCTGGGATTTTAGAAGCATACGCCTTGCGCCATGCTTACATCTTGACGTGGCCTGCGGAGGAACTTTAAGGCCATCCCAGGAGATACGGTGAGTCCACTAAGCCACAAAAAGGCCAGACGAAGTCCCATTCGACAATGGAAGAATTCTGGTGTTATAATGGTGAGGTCCGATATTCTGCAGTGCTTGGTGCCTTGTCGTCCCGGTTACTCGGTCTTCGGTCGACGAACGTTTCCTGGTATGCCTCCTTGCAACAGCGCCAACCTTGCGCCGCCATCTATATCTGTGTCTGTTCCTGGCAACTGTGCTACAGCATACGGAGTCTGATACCCTTCACCTCTGCCCTCTCGTACTCAGTCGCATTAAGACAAAGTGTCCAGAGGGTTCTGTTGGGGATCCAATGAATGCGCCTGCTTTTCATCGTTATCAGATCTAGAGACTTCTCTGGATTGATCACGAACCCACAGCTGTAGCGGGGTCAGAATCACGAGATCAACGACAAATCAGAAGGTTGAATGGATGAGTTGCATCTCAGGAGTAAGGTGGCTACTGTTCGTGTTGTGGGCCAAAGCGACGGGAATCGCGAACCCGCTCGGCAATTCGACCTCCGTCTCTCCGATCTTCTCTAGCAAACACCTGTGCGTACGCATCTCGTCTCTTTTTCGCAGCACTCGCTGTCATGCCAAAGATCGAAGGATCGCGATTCACACTGACGGCGCGAACAAATCGGACACCTTGAGCACCTCAACAGAGTACGAAGGTGAACATTCTCCGGCTCGGATTCATCATGGCATTCACCGCCAGACGATGCTAGTATCGTGCAGGCCAAGGTTTCGCATCGCCCAACGAACCCAAACTCGTCGCGATGTCGACGTCGTCTATCGCATCAGTTTGAAGCACCAAGTATTCGATCGGGCTCGACAAATTCCATCGCCCAGGTACTATATACGCCATGAAGATACCTTTTCCCCATGGAACGTGATCGGCTATCTGCGCAATCGATGGTCAGGGGTTTAAAATGTTGGGGAAGACTAAGCGCTCGATAAGCCTTGTCGGATTGTTTGATTGCAGGCAGGATTGTCCGGCTTTTGCGTCGGCTATCAGACTTCTCGAACCACAAAGAAAATATGCTGGACCAGAGGATGAGCCACAAAAGCACGAGACTGCAGCATGCGCCTCCGTGGATGGCACCTGTCAACAACTCAAGAGCCAACATCAGACTGGCCGCAGGCTCCCCTGCCTCAAAGTTCCAGCGCCGCCAAGTTGTATCAAATTGCCCAACAGTACGATTGCCTTGACACCAAGGACGACCATGTACACAAACTGCACGCGAAACATTGCAATTTCATTGAAGTGTGGCGTCTGCATGGAATATGCTGTACCACATCGGCTCTCCTATAGATGTCCGAATGTCGGTACAAGGTATACCAAAGTTTCCGAGAGATCATCATCGTTTTTGCCTTAACCGCATCGAACTAACTTATTTCTAGTCTAGATGCACTAACGAAGAAGCTTCAAGATGTACGCCACTTGTGTCCTCCATCCTTTTTCAGCTGACCACGCGAGGAACAGCGTTTCGGACGAGGGTCCAAATGCTATTAGTCGCTGAATGCATGGGTTGGGCGTTTTGTTGATTCTGCGAACACCCTACGTTGACCAATAACATGATTCATCATCATCAAGCTTTTGCGCCTTCACCATGATCGAGACGATCAACACCTTCCCAGATTACCGCCCGCTAGTCACGGATAGATGGTCAAATCCCAGTCGTACCCGTGCAGTAGAATTCCTTTGCGTATGTCGAATGCTTGTGCTCAGGCACGTACTACCCCTTCTGGTAGAGTCGTCTATCTAAATGCGTTGATCTTCGCACATCATGCAAGGGTCGGGGGCTTTGCAGTATTGAATACGCGTTCATATTGGGCTACATCGATCAGGAAGTAGCTGGACCGACGACGTCAGCCGTTTCACGGGAAACCCTTCGTCGATACTTAAACTCTTCTGAACGCTGCTTCTTCAGCCTGATATCCCTCTTTGTATTACATTCGTGACTCTGCAAGCACAATGTTGGGTCTAACTCAGGCACTGCTGCTGTCGGTGTATGCTGGAGCGGCCTACGCAAAGACTGTTAGCTACGACTTCGATGTCGGCTACGTTACTGTAAGTACTCTTATCCCTAGTCATGTCCAAGGGCGATGGGCCACCGACAGTTTTCTATCACACTGCAAAACGGTACTAACTCGTTCTAGGCTGCACCTGACGGCTTCGAGAGGCAGGTCATAGGAATCAACGGCAAATGGCCTATTCCCACCATCGAATGCGATGAAGGCGATACTGTACAAGTGACAGTTCACAACAGCCTTCCAGATCAGACAACTGCTCTCCATTTCCATGGTATATGGCAAAAAGGCACCCAGGTCTATGACGGCCCCAGCGGGGTCACTCAGTGTCCCATTCGACCTGGAGGCTCTTTCACTTACACGTTCGTTGCCAACCCTGCTGGCACTCACTGGTACCATGCGCACGAGAAAGGGCAATACCCCGATGGTCTGCGAGGCAAGATGATTGTACACGACAGAGCCTGGGAGAAGAGCCTGAACATCGACGAACAGAAGTACCTTTCCATGTCAGACTGGTAAGCAAACCCAAACCTGAACATTTTCGCAAGCTTACACCATAAAGGTACCATCGCCCAATGCCAGAGATGATTGAGGAGTATATGAGCCCTTCCAATACCAACGCCGACTTTGCTTCGCCCGACTCTTTCCTCTTTGACGACACCGACAAGCCTTTCAACCTCAAGATTGCCAAGGGCAAAAGGTATCTGCTTCGTATCGTCAATACTGCTGCCGTTGCATGTGCCCGATTCCATATCGAAGGCTACACGCTCAGCGTAGTCGAAGTCGACGGTGTGCAATCACAGCCCAGGGATGCGGAAACGATCATCATTTGCGCAGGCCAGAGCTACGGTGTGATTGTGCAAGGCCAGAAGGACCCGAAAGGAGGAACCAATTGGATCGCACAAATGGACACGGACATGATGACAAAGCCTCCCCCTTCTAAACAGTCACGAACCATCATCGGAGAGATGTCCTACAAGAAGGACGTCTTCGACGAGATTGATGATGTCATCGATGATATCAGTGATGAGATAGATCACATCCTCGACGACAACTGGACTCCAGCACCCGACACTATCCTTGACGACTTCAAAGTGAAGCCACTTGACAACCAGGGACTTTTGGGACCAGTCGACAACAATATTGAGCTCACGACCAACCAGACATACTTCGAGGGCGTCGGTACCCGTACACCTCTCAACTCACAACCATGGGTTCCACCTCAAGTCCCCTCGCTCTACACTGCTTTGACAACTGGCAGCATGGATCCCGCAACATATGGTCCCGGCATCAACCCCTGGGTCGTCAAGTCCGGCCAAATCGTCCAGATTCACATGCGAAACCCACACATGTACCCCCACCCCATGCATCTTCACGGCCATATCTTCCAGGTCGTCGCCAAGGGTGTCGGAGCTTGGAACGGCGATGAGGACTTGCTTCCGGGAGTACCCGCGAAGCGTGATGGTGTCGTTGTTCCGGCTTTCGGCTACGCGGTCATTCGTTTCAAGGCTGATAACCCAGGTGTTTGGTTCTTCCATTGCCATATCGACTTCCATCTCGTTGGTGGTATGGCTGCAACCATCATTGAGTCCCCTGACAAGCTGTCTGGCTCTGTTCCCGCTGCTGGTGTCGCACTTTGCGATGCAGGAAAGAAGAAGTCGAGCGGTAACTGCGCTGGCGAGAAGGGAGAGATCTCTGCGAAGGATGCAAGCACCAAGTGCAACAATGTCTACAACACCAAAGTGCGGGGCGCTTTGATTGAGTAGTCCCTCATTGTTCCACAGAACTCTCTTCTTTGTAGAACTTTCGACATTGTAGATGACTACTTTGATATTAATTAGACTTCATATTTCATTACGTAGATATTTACTCTTTGTAATACATGTCAATGGTTCTTGCCACAACCACATCCTCCACTCTTGACACTGACCCTCTTCTTCCAACTCCAGCTTTTCTCCGGCTCAGCGATCATTCTCTTCATCTCTGCAACATCCTTATCGCCCCAACCCTTGTCCAACATGCTCATATCCACACTCAACCTTGCATATCGCACCGCCTCCCACTTCATCCCAAAACTACTGTATACCTCCGCAGCATGCTGGTATGCCGTCGCTAAGCTAGCATCTAGTCGTTCTTGCTTGTACAGACTGATAAGAAGCTCCGCTGTAGCTGGCGTAGCAGACGAAGACTCCGTCCAGTCATTCAGGATATCTGATTGGAGTGAGGCGATTTGCTCGAGACGAGCATCAGATTCAGCGGCAAGGGCGGGGTGCGCAGTGCATGTTGAACAAGAACATTTGAAGCCCCAGCTCTTTTCAAGACCGTGGATGCGTCTCGCGCGGGGTAGCTCGTTGTTGATGTATGTTATTGTTATCTCCTCACCGGGGTGAATGGGCCGGATGGCGTGGACGTAGTGAGTTAGTGTCTTCTCATCGAAAAAGTATGCAGCATTGGGTCGGCAGTCATGGTTCAGCATTGCGATTTCAGGAAACAGCGCTGATTGCGAGATGCCATCGATGGCGACTTCGAAGTTGTTGGTTGTGATGCGGTCATCAATTTCGTCGTCGTCAGGTGTGTGGCCGTGGAGCTCCCAGAACAAGGACTGAGTTGACTTGGGAAGGGTGGCTATGCCGCGGTGTAAGAGGGCTAGGCGTTCGGATTCTGGAAGCTCGTATAGGTCGGGGTCGGTGATGAGAATGGGTGTGGAAGCGAAAATCTGGTCGCCTTGATTCAGTGTCTTGTTAGCGACTAGTCCCCTTCCTTTTCCTGGAAACTCGTGCTGTTCAAATGGCGGGTTCTCGTAGCGGTTGATGTGCTCAAGTGTTTGTGGACGTTGGAAAGCATCGTGCTCTAACATGGCGTAGGCAAAGGTTTGCGCGGTGACGATGAAAATGCCCCTTCCTGATGCAAAATTCTGGTCACTGAAGACGCAGTATGGTTGATCCGGAACCTTCTCATGAGTGAAACATTCTGGCCAGAAGGTCCAAGGGAAATTTTCTGCCTGAGAAGCCAGGACACGGGCGTCTTCTAGGGAGTTTGTGGGGTGCGAGGGCTGGGTTGTGTTGGATTGGAACGTAAATGTTGATGCCGGCGAATCTCCATATGCTAAAGGCAGGCATTTGCCGTTGTCGAGTAGGTGGTTTGAAGGACAGGCATCCTTTATGAGAGGCGTCTGTGCGACGAATTCGATCTTCTCGTTGGAGAGTGCCAGAGCACCTCCAAGTAAGCTGAGGCTGATGGTAGATCTCATGATGAGATAATGTTGTTTGTAGGTGAATACAGTATTCGAACAATGCAGATATAAGAGAAGGAAAGAACGATTTGGGGTTCAGCTCCGTTCATGTACAAAAACATCTGTATGTCTTGGAAGCACACGTGAAACACGACCTGATCGTGAAGCCAGAGATGAAACGATTCAGCAAAACATGCCGCCCCCAGTCGCGTCCGACGCACTTTACCAATCTACAGAATCGATACTGCGACATTGTAGGTGTGAGGCTCCAATTCTTGTTCAAAAATAGTTACGCGTAAGGGATGATTGTCGGCGTGGCTGAGTGTACTGGCGACGAGTGTTACGAAGCCGAGGCAAACCATCAAGTGTACTAGGTAGCTGTAGTAGTCTTATAAGAACCATGCTATGCTGTTGAGAGATTACTACAAAGGCGACTGCATCTCTCTTTACTTTCCGTCTTAGTTGTGGCGATAATTGCTGGGATGGTGCACCACGGGAACGTGGGGGAAGGGGACATCCATAGGAAGGCGCGGAAGCCCTAGAGCGTTTCGAGGGTGAAACGCCAACGCGATCGCACCTCGGCAAAACCTGCCAGCCAGCCTCCATCCAATTTAGCGCGATCCTCAGCACCTGAACCTTCCGACGCGCAGTGTAGCCCAGACTGGAACTTCAAGCTGCAGAGTACTCCATCAATAACGATCAGAAGAACGAAAGTCGTTGGTATCAATACAGAATCATTACGTACATGGACTCGCTAGAACGCTCAAAAAACCGACCCTAGAACTAGCCCAAACGTCCTCATCAAGCATAAAGAAAACTCACACTAAAAACTTGGTCTTCCAGACAAACGAATACCATAGCCTAGGCAGGTCTGACCCCCTCATACAGCGTATCTAGTTTCAAGTCATCAACATCGGACTTCCACTCACTCGCACGTGGTAGGACAATGTGCCAACCACGATCTTCTGTCTCTTCCAACAGCGTTGCCGCTTTGTCTTCTGCATCCTCTCGACCTGTTGCACAGATAACGAAGGTAGTGAGGTAAAACATTACGAAGGGATACTTTGAGTTGATGCAGTGCTGGATGTAGTATTGCCATGCATTAGCAGACCAAGGACGATCGAATGCTATTGCGTGATTAGGAACGTGAAGTTAATGAGTGCAGTGCTGAGGACTTACGCATCGCATTCCAACGATATATATGGCCTTCCCAAGTGGCAAACGTCAATCCAATATTACCAAGACTCTTAATGACGGGCATGGGCCAAGCGCAATAATGCGTTTGTATCGAGCCTTTGGCCATAATACCATCGGGGCATTGTTGTTTAAAAGCTTGAGCGAAGTCTAGCAAGCAAGAGGCTGGAGGCAGAGGGAGTTCGGGTATCATGGAAGTCTGGTCGCTGTCATCGTACGGGAAGTATAGATCAAGAGCGCCGTCCGAGCCCTGCATGATCACTGGACGAGTCTGAGGCTCTTCGTACTCCTGAACTAGGCTGACGATGCCGCAGCGCTCCATGTCGTCGACGACTCTTCGGACGAAGCGATTGGAGTCCCGCGAACGGACCTCAGTTGCTGTCTTCTTTTGATAGGCTAGTATGGCGTTTCTGTCAGGAGCGTGGTGTCGGTATCGGTGGCCTTCGTACTGCACCTCGGGTGGTGCGGGGAAGCGCATGTCAGACGAGCATTCAATGGTCATCTCTTCCAGAAACATCTCTTGCACTGAGGGTGGTATGACTTCAGACACGACTCGTTTCGCTATCCGCCGAGGTGAAGGATCACCGGCGAGCATGAGCAACGTGTCTTGAACAATGTCGATCAGCTCGAATGGCATACCCGCGTCGCGATCGATGATGATGAATTGCCACGAGTCAACAACGATAGGGTCGTACATTGAGGTCTTACGCAACCGCAAATCGTTCTTAATATCTTCCAGTGTGACCAAGGTAGTCCAGTCCGGTTCAGCATCGTGCGCAAAGCTCTGCACGGAGCGCGTACGCTTTATGAATAGGTCGGCCTCGGTAGGATGGACTGTAGCATCGACATTTGTGCCTTCATAGACGACAAGATATAATCTCTTCGTTCTTCTGCGTAGCTCATCCAAGAAGTATCGGGTCTTGGGATCGCCCATAGCCATTTGCCCACAAAGGTAATTTCTTGCTTCGGTTTGTACTAGTCCTTCGTCCTTGCTGGTAGTCTTGATTGTCTTGGTGAAGTCTCCCTTAGTTGTAGGGATGAAACCAAAATAGATACCGGTGGCGCACTCGCTCAGGATGCTTGAAGTGTTGTACCAGTGCTCGCAGTACAGCCCGAGCATGAGCAACTTGCAAAGCGTAGTGTAGTCCTCAAAGTTGGAGCATATGCTCGCCACAGTCCAAGGAGTAAGCAGCGTTGGAAACCAGCGGTACCTGATGAACGTTAGCAACAGTCAATACATTCATGTGTATTACTGACAATATGTCCCAGCACGGCTTGGTCATTCGGAGACCTTCACTAGTGCTAGGCACGTCTCCTCCGAGTAGCCGAACAGTCTTCATATCACCACCAGCAAGTGTTTGCGCGCAGATCGCCGCTCGAAGATATTGCACAGCATGAGGCCTCCAGGCCTTCTCGAAGAAGTCGCAGTACATCTCTAGTTGGCTCGCTTGGCAACCGGACAAGTACTCGCCTATACTCTTCGATCTTGTTGCACGCTCAAGTGCGTCAGCCTCGCTGTCATTTAGTATCATTATCCTGAACCAGGCGCATATAATCTCGGTTCCGGTATCTCCGACGGTGTCATCTTGTATCGGGGAGTCTGATAGTTGAGAAGAGAAGCGTAAATCAGGCAGAATGCAATACAGGCGGCGGATCGCGTCGGCACACAAGTCGGTAGAGAAGTGTTTGAGAACAACTATAGTGCCGTCGTCGATGCCCTGTAGCGATCCGATTGGTATCGCAGGCTTCAGTGGAGACTGTAGTATCATGATCTGTTCTGAACAGCGGTTGTCGTAGAGGTCACCTGGCGTATCCGGTAGGAGCGTGCGATTCAGGTTTGACACTACTAAACGTCAGCGTAGGATCAGAAAGCGCTCAGCTGGTATGACACGTACTAAGAATCATGTTCGCCAAAGTTCTGACCTCTTTCTCCAACCTTGCGATCCATTCTATGAAATCTACAGTGTCAATCCCCCGAGTGTGGAACCTCTCCCTAATGCGACGACGAAGTTCGACCGCTAAACGGAGCTTGAGTACTTTCTGTTTCGCTGTGTGCGCGTCGAAGACCACAATCTTTTCGGCTGCAAGCTGGAGGTTTTCCCATCGTGTACTCAGGTCATTCTGCTCCCTGAGATGCCAGTTGCACCAGGTCTGATCCTCGCTCGATAGTTCGAGATGGCAGCGCCGTCCGTCCGTTTCTATAGCATCGCAACGACTGCCCTGAATCGCCGGCGACTCAGGTGGTTCGCATGTGTGGATGAGGTTGCGTGCTTTCTCTCTAGATCTGAACCGGCGTCTTTCGGGCTTATGGACATACAGTAGGAGACTCATCGGAAGTAACAAAGAAAGGAAAGCAAGCAGCTTTTAGATCCACTAATGCTAGCTTGTATGCATATGAACCGAATGAAATGATCAAATGAGAGAAGTAACGAAAGAATGTACAGTAGAGGAATAGTATAATGGGTCGCAGCAATGTAGCCTTACCAACAGCGCGGATGTCAGATACTAATGGTACCACGCCTCAGGCCCTGAAGGTCGGAAGATACGCTAGGCGAACACGGACGCATGTTGTAGCAATGAAATGGCGTAGGAGTCTGTGCAGGCTATTACCAACCGCCATTCTCGGACAGCTGCATCTGCATTTCTCATTCGTTGACTTCAGCGCGAAGCGGTTGAACTGGCAACCTCTTTGCAGCTTTCACTCCTGCAGTGTTTTGAAACGGCTAGCAAAGAGGCTATTTTAAGCGCTGTGGATGGCCCGCCTGATGTTGGGGGTGCGCAACGAGCAAACAGAGATATAAGTGTCGAGATAGACAGCCTTCATTGTTTGTTTATATGGGAACTATTTTGTGTTCATGTTAGATGTATCGGTCTATTCAGGAGTACACCTGATCAATGCGCATCGAGGTGAACGCGACTTCAGAACAAACACTCCCGTGTCGCGTGCTTTGGATTAGTATCGTGGAAATAAGCGAGTGGTGTTCACAGCGGGCGGGTAGATGTCTTACATCATTGGTGGCTAGCGAGAAGGCTGGGGGTTAAGCGCTCAGTCTGTCCGATCTTACTACGCCCTGTAAGTGCAACACCAACATCCATGGTTATAGCAACGCCCGTTTCTTGTATCAGGTACGCCTAACATCACAGGGCTGTGTGTGTGTGCCGTCCGCATGGTATGTAATTGCGCTCGGAAGGTCTCGCCACCAGCGCTTGTCCGTGCCGTGTGGTCACTCAACCGCCAAATACCAGTGCAAGTCACGATGCGTTTTCACCGCCTCTTCTTGTTCTTGAGGTGAAGCTTCAGGAGACACGCGCGACTCATCGGTGAGCGGGTTATCGTCACGAAGGAGTGTTGGCAATGGTTTCAGCATGCGCCGGCCAGCTAGTCCTCTCCTCGCTGTACGCGACCGTATCCTCGAGAGCTGGCTGCAGAAATGTAATGGAAGTAGCGACAAAACTGTGTTCTTTCTTGTTTTCGATGTATGTCGTGTAGACCATGGGGAGATGAACGCTGGGGAAATACGGGGAAAGGTCCGAAGCCTCCGATCCAGATCCACAGTCGGCATTTACCCATGACCCCACATTTTCGGTATACCGAAAGTAGGAATTGGGGTAGCTCTCATCCGAGGTTGCGCTCTGGTGCGATGCATGGCATCATCATGGAGTCTCTCCAAACGCTTTACACGCGGTCTCTATCCTTATTGCCGTTTCTAGTACTCCCTAAACATCACTCGAAGAACATTTCATTCCACAAAGTGACTACCTGCATCTCCAGGCACACGTAACCCCCCGCATTGCTTTACACAGCCGTGTAAAGTACATCACAACTCCCACACTATGGTGATCTCAACAGCAATCCGTATAGCGCCTACAAGGGCAGCACGCGCACTCAACCTCCTCCGCACCGTACAATATACGCATCCTCCGTCATGTCCTTGCCATTCGAATCCCAACTACCACCAATCGCCGGCTACCGTACAGCAAGCACGCCGACACCTCGCAACGCCCCTCGACCAATTCCAGCAGAAAGAATATGCTTTCGAGATGGCAGCATCGAGCATACGATTTGGGCCTGGATGTACAAAGGAAGTGGGTATGGACTTCAAGAATATGGGAAGCAAGCGCGTTATGGTCGTCACAGACCCGAACGTGCGGAAACTAGATGCCATGAAGCAGGTCATTGAAGGTCTGGAGAGGGAGGGTGTAACGTATGAGATCTTCGACAAGGTCAGGGTCGAGCCAAAGGACCATAGCATAAAAGAGGCGATCGACTTTGCGAAGCCGTGGAAACCAGATGCATACTTGGCTGTTGGTGGTGGCAGTGTTATTGACACTGCCAAATTGATGAACCTGTACACCACATTCCCCGAGGCAGACTTCCTGGACTTCGTCAACGCCCCACTCGGCAAGGGGATGCCTATTCCTTCTAAGCTTTTCCCACTCATTGCCGTACCAACAACAGCAGGAACTGGATCCGAGACTACCGGTACAGCCATCTTCGATCTGGTCTCCAAGCGCGCGAAGACAGGTATTGCTCACCGCAACTTGAAGCCTACGTTGGGTATAGTTGATCCATTGAACACACGTACCATGCCCTCTGCGGTCCATGCCTCTTCAGGTCTTGACGTACTCTGCCACTCTCTTGAATCATGGACTGCGATACCGTACTATGAGCGCACTCCGCGACCTACCAACCCCATCAACCGTCCGGCCTACCAAGGCGCGAATCCAATTTCCGACATCTTCTCTCTCAAGGCTCTGAAGGACACAGTCAAGTATTTACCTCGCGCAGTCAAAGACCCTGATGATCATGAGGCGCAATCCCAGATGTTGCTAGCTGCAACACTCGCTGGTGTTGGTTTCGGCAATGCAGGTGTGCATCTCTGCCACGGCATGTCCTACCCTATCTCAGGGCAAAATCCGGGATACAAGCATGCTGGCTATGATGTTGATCACACCATCATCCCGCATGGTGTTAGTGTTGCAGTAACTGCACCAGCAGTATTCAAGTTCACTGGCGCATCGAACCCGGAGAGACATCTGGCCGCTGCCGAGGCATTCGGTGTGGATATCTCGAATGTCAAGGCAGAGAGTGCGGGAGAGGTGTTGGGCGAGGCGCTAGCAGAATTCTTGATCAAACTCGGTGATCAACCACGCGGTCTAAAGGCGCTTGGCTTCGGAAAAGAGCATTTGGACCAGTTGGTTGAGGGCACAATTCCCCAGGCGAGAGTACTGATGTTAGCACCCAGCTTAGAGATGCAGAACGTTGATGCCGAGAGGGAGCAGTTACGGGGTTTGTTCGAGGATGCTATGGAGTACTGATCGTAGCCACGGTGACTCTGTGTCGCATACAGGGGACGTTGGCGATGTTTGAATCTGGATGCCGAGGTTTGGACGAAGACGTGAATGCATATGCAGTTGCATGACTGTAGAAAGTTTTACAGAATTCAAAATATGACGTGTCTCTGTTACATCACAGTGTTGTTCGCCATGTTGAGCTGAAACTATCTTTGAACATCCTGTACTTGAAGGCATGACAAATATTTGCTCCACAAGCCACGGGAAAGTCGACAGGGGTTCCTGTTAACCTTGGAAGTTCCATAGCTTGGGATCCAAACACCAGGCTACTTGTCTATTGCAAGTTAATCGGTATCAGGTGGCATGTTGATGGGGCTCCTCGGTGCTACTGTGGGGTTACCCATGCGCTGTGGAGGCCATGACAATCTTCTCGCTTTGGCGCAATACGATGGAGCCACGATACGTCAACGACGCTGAATGAAACCTCCTGAAGGGAGCATCTCCCGCGATCTCCCCTGGGATCGTGGCGCAGCCCGTCAAATGTCATTTCCTAGTGCAGATCGCGCTCACAACTGGAAGAGGCGCTCCCAATGTTGACGTCATGGGTCCAGCCAGACCTCTACGATGCCCTGCTTCTCTAGGATGGATGCATGTCGATCTAGATTCACACTCGGAGCTTAAATCAAACTTAAACCCCCTCCCTGGACCCTGATTTTACCCTGCAAAATAGTTTCTACCTACTACTCTAGTAGTCATCTTTGTCCCTCACTTGCATTACAACTGGACGGGCTCATTTCCGAAATAACGCGAACCCCGCCTTCAACCAACCAAATATCGCTAGCCGCGTCGGTCGAGCTCCATAACAACACCGTTCCTCTATATACGTGCGAAGACACGTTCCACAACCTCACCTTAATTACTGAGTATCGTTACACACCTACAATATGTCTGCGCCTACCTCTGCTACGAGTGAGATGCCCACGCGCAGTCTCACAAACCGATCTGCCGACGAAGATGCCATTCCAGGAGAGGATACCTCAGAGGTGAGCAGTCTAAAGCCCGATAGAAGGAATTGAACCTGACATGTCCCAGGTCACGAAGCTCTTTGCAGAGCGATTGCAAGCTTGGAAACACGCCGTTGCGTACCTCGAAGACTACGTTACCGCAACAGAGAAGACGAACCACGCACACGGCAAGGAGTATGAGCGAGTCTTGAAGGTTGGTGCAATTCACGCGATGGTGATTCTATTGCTGACGTTCGAAAGACGGTCAAGGATCCCCTGAAAGAGGGCCACCACTTCGACCAGTCGCTCGGCGGTGTTGCGGGCATGTTCGAGAACATCAGGTCCAACACCCAGGTATGCCATCTTTCCACTCAAGAACCCGATGACTCTTCTAACCATGTCAGGGTATCTCCAACCAACACTACGAGACTGCGAAGCAGCTGAAAGGCGCCGTTCTCCCCATCTTCGACCGCCTGCACACCGAGATCAAGAACAAGAGCAAGGAGCTCACAAAGGGAGCCGGCAAGGGCAGTAAGGCTGTCGACAAGGCTCGCCAGCACACCCAGAAGCACATTGAGCTTCTTGGCCAGCACACCGCAGTCTTCGACTCCCACAGCGGCAACATGAAGGCTACCGACGACCCCTACATTCTCCAACGCGGAGTTAACCACCGTCTGCACAAGCAAGTGCAGGAGGAGAACAACAACCGCCAGGACCTGATTAGTGTGCAGAACTCGTTCGCGCAATTCGAAGCCCACATCATCCAAACAATCCAGCATGGAATGGGCCAGTTCCTGCAGGTCGTCAACACCCAAGCCGAGCACACCAAGGCTGCATACTCCGACATGGTCGGCACATCCCAGCGCATCCCTCTCGACTTCGAGTGGAACGGCTTTATCCAGCGCAACAACACCGTCCTGATCGACCCTTCAGCTCCGGCCCGCAATGTCTCTGACATTAGCTTCCCCAACCAAAACCACCGCTCCACCCAGCCACTCATATCTGGCTCTCTCGAAAAGAAGGGCAAGATCATGCGCTCCTACGACACAAACTACTATGTCGTTACTCCCTCCAAGTTCCTTCACGAGTTCAAGACAGACGACGACTTCGCTAAGGACCCAGTCCCCGAACTGTCTCTCTACATCCCCGACTGCGTCATCGGTGCTGTCAACGGTCAGAAGTTCAACGTCAAGGGCAAGGACGTGTCCAAGGGCAAGATTGGTGGTGCTTTCTCCATGACACACGAGTTCGCATTCAAGGCACACACTCCACAAGCTGCAGAACAATGGTGGGACGTTATCCGCCAGGCAGCCGGTAAGGTGACCAACGAGGCACCGTCCAGCGTACCTACCAGCCCCGTCTCCGGAGATACCAGCCCTCAGAATATGTTCCCTGAAGAGAAGACGCAACCCGCTCCTATCCAAACCCAGGGTCTAGAGAAGACTGGTACTAACGTCACCGACCACGCTAGTGCGCCAGGCTCCGCTGTGCCAGGAAGTGCGACTACGGCGCCCTCTAGTGCTGTCCCAGGCGAGCCAGGAAAATACTAGTGGAACAGTCTCATGATTGCTACTTGTACATCTGAGGAAGAGGAGGTCGAAATGGAGGAAGTTGCATATTGAGTATCGCGGCTTGTTGAACATATACACATACCCCTTTGCTGTTGAATAGTACTAATACATTCTAATGCTTTTGAAATTCTTTTCATGTTGTCGTGCCTTTCTGTCTGAGGTTGTGAGCTTCTACTTGATGAGACTTTGTAGCCCTCATTGTGTTTCTCTTGTGGTCGTGCTAGATGATCAATCCCACATCTGTCGTACATTCAAGTTGACCCGTTTATTCCGCATCCACCCTCTCCATTCCTCATACAGCAAGGTTTGTCCATCTGTCCTTGCAGGCCAGTCTATTAAATACTCAGGACACGTGCCCCCTACTATCTGCGGAACACCATGCCATGCAAACCTCGACTCTCCAGTCATATATACTGCGCTTCCAGATCTCAACCTCAGCGTAACGATCTTTTTTTCGCTGCCTTCTTCTTTCTTCTTTCCCTCCTCTCCCTTTTTCGGTACTGAAGTTCCAAGAACGAAGATGGCATCACATCCCAGACTCACGCTAACCAAACCCGTCCCACTGCTTTCAGCAACATCTCTATGCACACTCAGCGTATCGCCTGGTGAGTAGAGATTTACAATCGCGGCTTCAGCTTTCGTAGACGTAAATAGAGACTCTAAGAGCTTTTTTGTATCTGGAGGGAAAGCTGGAGGTGGGGTGGCGGGGTAGCGTTTCGCAGTCCAATCATACTGGCCACCTAGAGTCGTCCATCGTAGTTTCTTGTTGAGAAGTTGTGGGATAGGCAGAGGCTTGTGAACTGTGGGGTCAAGGGGATGGGCCATGGGTGTGGGGCAAGTAGGAGGGATAGAGAAGAAGGATGACTGGGAGGATGGATACGCCAACTTGTAGTGGGTATGGATGTTTGTGAGATGAGAGGGATTAGAGAGATCGCGGTGGAGAAGGTGGGATAGCAGTGTGGATTGGACGGATGGGGGTAGGAGTGAGGGGATGATGTGGAGGCCTACTTACCTGTTACTACGAAACATGGATGGGAAACCAAAACAGAACAAAACCAAAGTAACATTTACGAAAGTGAATCTCAAAGTCTCCTACCTGGTATGTCTTCGTGTTCGTATACCGGTATCGATCTTGGTATATCCGTGTCTTGAAGTTCTACCCCATCTTCACCGGCGAACGCCTGGAAAATAGCGGTCAAGTCTTCTGCGGTGTATTCTCTGACAACGCGCACTCGGCCACTTGATGACGCGGAGGCGTCGCTCGATAGATCAATGATGTCCCCATCTAGATCCAAGTCGTTCAATTTCATCTTTTGATACTTCTTGTAGACATTGCGTATGCTGTCTGGAGGGCGTTCATGAGGATCCAAGTGATGCATTTTGGGTGAAGCCTTTCCAGTAGCAGTCTCAGGAAACCGATTGCATATGCCAAGATGATTGCCGGGCAGCGCAAGCGTTCGGTAGTAGAGGTGTAGGGATGTTTGAGAATTGTGCCAGCAGGCGTTGACTAAGCTCGCGTTTTGTGGCTGACGGGTGCGCGTTGCCCGATGCGTCAAGGGTGTTTACATCTCGAATTTCCTAACATCGACACCCTCGTTCCCTGATCCCCGCCGCACCTTCGTCCTTACCCGCACTTACTAACCACAGGTACACTTGAGCTTGCTAGAGAGGCATCCCACTGTCTTCGCCTCCACTCGCTATCTTTTGATCTCGCTGCGAAACAGCGCCCCTGCGATCTAGCTAAACACGCTTGACCGCCTGTCTCTCGTCTGAAGCATTCGCAGTCCATAGCCGCTTACAATGGAGAACTACCAGAAGCTGGAAAAGGTCGGAGAGGGTATGACATTCCCCATGAAATCTTCTTTCATCACGCGCCCTTACTCACGTCAAACCAGGAACTTACGGAGTTGTCTACAAGGCGCGCGACCTCACCACCAAAGACCAACGCATCGTCGCCCTCAAGAAGATCCGTCTCGAAGCCGAAGATGAAGGCGTCCCGTCAACCGCCATCCGTGAGATCTCCCTTCTCAAGGAGATGAACGACCCGAACATTGTCCGCCTCCTCAACATCGTACACGCCGACGGACACAAGCTATACCTCGTCTTTGAGTTCCTTGATCTGGATCTGAAGAAGTACATGGAAGCGCTACCAGTGAGCCAGGGTGGACGAGGCAAGGCGCTGCCAGAGGGCTCTGGTCTGGCGGGTCAGGCTCTGAGCATGGACGACAAGATGGTGAAGAAGTTCATGATGCAGCTGTGTCAGGGTGTGCGGTATTGCCATGCTCATCGCGTGCTGCATCGCGATCTTAAACCCCAGAACTTGCTCATCGACAAGGACTGTAATCTCAAGTTGGCTGATTTCGGTTTGGCTCGCGCATTCGGTGTCCCGCTGCGAACATACACACACGAGGTATGGACATGAGATTTTTAAACGATTTTTGATGCTTTCTAACACAAAACAGGTCGTCACGCTATGGTACCGCTCTCCAGAGATTCTGCTTGGTGGTCGTCAATACTCCACTGGTGTTGACATGTGGTCTGTGGGATGCATCTTCGCTGAGATGTGCACGCGCAAGCCCTTGTTCCCTGGTGATTCGGAGATCGACGAGATCTTCAAGATCTTCCGGTATGCAAACTCAACTCACACATTCTATTTCAGATGCTAATCGTGTCTAGTATCCTCGGCACCCCCAACGAACAAGACTGGCCCGGCGTTACCTCCTTCCCCGATTTCAAGCCCTCGTTCCCCAAGTGGGGTCGGACGGACGTCGCGAACATCGTCACCAACCTCGACGAAGTTGGTCTTGACCTCCTCGATGCACTGCTCGTATACGACCCCGCTGGTCGCATTTCAGCAAAGCAGACGGTCATCCACCCGTACTTTGGCGGTATGAATGGTGATACACGACACGAATACAGCAATGGCTACCACTAGGCTGTCCCAAGGGGACGCTACGACTGTTACGCATTTGGTGGCTGCATGATTGGTGAGCAACACGAGACGTTAGTGTCTACATGAGATTTCCCGCTTTGTTCTGGATACAAGGATTAGGGCTGTACCCCATCGGACAGCAAGCGGCGTTCCGGTCAGGATATGTTACAAAGTGCATACATGCAATACTACATACAACCACACCAAGCTGCATCAAATTTTGCATACTGTTGTGCTGAACACCTGACTCGCGATCATGTCTTTGGTGTTGCGAAATGACGTAGCGCGACATGCCCCACCTCAGCCCTACGGGACTCGTGTTGAATGCAGGAACGCGTCCACGTACCACATGTGCAGGTCCCTGACTTTACGGTCTCCTCACCACACTTGCTTTCTAGTTATTGAGCATAATGACTTCTGCCACTCCGAAATTGCTTCCCGTATCTACAGGCCCACGGCTTATCGTTTACCACCAGACTTACCACGACTCCAACGGCAACTACCACTCGCTGCTTCCGCTGCTCACCAACAACACCGGTATCACGCATGTGATTATTGCGGCCATCCACCTTAACGACGGCCCGGGAAACATAACGCTGAACGATCACGGCCCTGATGACAAGAGGTACGACCAGCTATGGGGTGAAGTGAATTGGCTACAAGGTAGCGGGGTCAAGGTGCTGGGTATGCTGGGAGGAGCAGCAAAGGGCAGCTTCGAGAAGCTTAGTGGAGAGGAAGAGAATGTACGACACAACACCTGCGAACCCATATCATGCTACAGTACATGGATGCTAACGAAGGTATCAGTTCGAAGCATACTACTCGCCCCTCCGCGACCTGATACGCCGTTACTCCCTCTCAGGCCTCGACCTCGACGTCGAAGAAGAAACCACCTTATCCACCATCACGCGCCTTATATCCCGCCTGCGCACCGACTTCGGTCCCGAGTTCGTCATAACTCTAGCTCCCGTGGCCACGGCCCTTATTCCCGACCCCAACATCCCCGCGCACCTTCGCCCTCCCCGCCCCATGCTCGCATCGGGACCGAGCCCCAATCCTCTACACCCCACTTTACCGCACCTCAGCGGGTTCAGCTATCCAGAGCTGGAGTGCAGTGTTTTTGGTAAAGAGATCAGTTGGTATAACACACAGTTTTATTGTGGCTGGGGCGATGCAGGAAGGACAGAGTGGTATGATGCAATTGTAGCGGCGGGCTGGAAGCCAGAAAAGGTGGTTCTGGGTGTTGTCACAAATCCTGGAAATGGGGCCGGACACGTTAATATACAGAAACTAGCAGATAATTGCAAGAGATTACGGCAAAAGTACGGGAATACTGGCAAAGGCTTTGGGGGTGTGATGGGATGGGAATACTTTAATGCTGGAGATTGCGAGGAAGATCTTGTTCACGTTTCGAGTCTGGAACTGGATAACGATACCGTGCAGGCTGGATGGGTCAAGGCGCTGGGCAGGGTGTTGCGCACAGAAGAAGAAAACAACACAGGGCAAAGACCATTGCAAGGTGTCACAGCTGATCAGATCCGTAGCATGGTGAGTAACCTTCCTACTGCCAGAGCAGCTTGGCCAGACGAAGAGATAGGCAAGTTGGTGGTGTTGGGGTTTTCGCGTCAAGAGGCTATTGCAGCATTGAATGCTACGGATGGAAATACGGAGATGGCAGCGGGGTTCTTGTTTGAACATTACCCGAGTTAGTTGGTGAAGGGAACATAGGATTCGTGTTGGGGGTATAGTGCATAGATACATGGAGATGTTGTAATGAATGATGGTTTTGGTGGTGCGATGTGTGATAGAGTAAATGTTCTTGTGATGCTAGGCAACCAACCCCCACGCCCTGGCGTCCTACTCAGACGGGATAAGTTACCATGTCAATCCGCAGGACCTTACGCCGATCGCAAGTGGCAGTTTATTCCATCGTTCGCAGGGCGAGACTATGTGGTTAGTTAGGCCTCAGTACGGTACAAAGCCCCTGCATAAACCACGCATAGTCGATACATCTGGTACCCTAATACGGGATACGGACAAAACGAAC